CCGATCAAAATTCTTGTCGATACCTTGCTTCTGGCCAATCACAGACCGAGAATCGCCGGAAATACAACCCCGGTTGCAAATGGCCGGTAATGTAATTGTGCCCCGTGGGTAGTAAGCTAGTACCCCATCCGAACGGTGGGGTACTACATATTGCAGGGTGGGGAATTATTAGAGGGTGGGGTATTAGCACAAAGCAAAGAACAATACTAGTAGTCAAACAAACCGACCGCCTCCAGAAAGGCGATAGCTGCCGCTGTTCACGTAAGAGCAAATCATCCTTCTGGTCTCGCCAAAGACGCACAGTCTTCTTGTCGATCTTGTACTTCTTCGAATTCTTGAGGTCTCCAACTCCTTGACCACACTGAGCTTCTCTTCGACGGTAAACTTGCGCTTCTTCATCACGACTTCAAATTGCCAATGACTGCAACAGCGCTCAAGAAAACGACGAGAGGTGAAGCTCTAGACACACGGATAGTGACACTCGTGCAGGATTTCTGCAGGTGTACATGTAGGAGGATCAAATCGTGTTTTCAACACCATTTAATGTTTAACACACCAAATCGAGGTTTTTCTTCAGGGTTATTTTGAGCATCACCAAAGCTCGGCAACCAAGAAGACGACAGCGATCTCTAAGGCAGCAGCGCAGCACGCGGAGAGCCATGGCGGAGAAGGACGAGAAGGTGGGCGTGGGTCTGTCCTCTACGGGGCAGTTCGACCAGAATATCTACGGCTCCAGCGACCGCTTCGCCGGTTATAGCGCGACGGTCACGGAGGAAGGAGATGAGGAAGAGCAGGAACAGCGTGCGGAAGACCATCACTCTCGCGCCAAGAAGGCGCAGGCCAACGACGGGCTCATCGACGACAGCTACGACCCATTCGCCGAGGCTCGCGAGGCCAATGGATCAGGTCTCGTGAACACGCGCATCGTGGACCGCGAGAACGCGTACCGCAAGCGGCGGTTTGAGCGCATGCTGTCTCCCGAGCGCGGCGACGCCTTTGGAGACAAGACACCGGCTCGCAGCTACAAGGAGATCATGCACACGCAGCAATTGGAACAGGAACGCGCCGAGGTGGTGCGTAAGATCCAGCAGAAACGCGAGGAACAGGAGCAGCAACAGAAGCAGCAGGGCCAAGAGCCGCAAGATGTGGACGCCACACCAAAGAGACGGCGTAAGCGGATGCGCTGGGATCAGGAAGCTCCAGAGAAGACAGATGGAGAGAGCCAATCCGAGTGGGACACGGCGTCCGAGAGCTCGGCCAGTTCTGTGGCTGCTACACCCACACGAACGGCGTCAAGATGGGATGCCACGCCAGTCGCGGGATCGGTGGGCGCCACACCAGGACGGAAGAACCGCTGGGATGAAACACCAGTGGCAAGCAGTGGATCCTCCAAATGGGACGCCACGCCTGTAAATTTAGGCGGCGTGACTCCGGCAGGTACAGGGAAGCGCTCGCGGTGGGATGAGACCCCCGTTTCTGGCCCGAATGACATGGCTACACCTGGAAAGAGTGTACAGATGACACCTGGAGGATCCATGGCGGCGGATATTATGAGTGGAACGTTGACGCCCGAACTGGCACAGCGTTTGCGTTGGGAAAGAGAGATTGAAGAGCGTAACCGACCCATGACGGACGAGGAGCTGGACGCGCTGTTCCCTGCAACAGGATACAAGATTCTTGACCCGCCTGCGTCGTATGTGCCTATTCGAACGCCATCACGGAAGCTGTTGGCTACTCCTACACCGATGGGACAGACTCCGGGCTTCGCGATGCAGGCCACTCCCGCGCGTGAAGACTATGGCGTGCCTGTCGGTACACCGTCGGGTGGCGATGGTACTATGCCGTTTATTAAGCCAGAGGACTACCAGTACTTTGGTAAGCTAATGGATGAGGTGGATGAAGAAAACTTGGACCCCGAGGCTGCCAAGGAGCGGAAGATTATGCGCTTGCTACTCAAGATCAAGAACGGCACACCGCCACAACGTAAAACAGCGCTGCGTCAGCTTACAGATAAGGCGCGCGAGTTCGGTGCAGGAGCATTGTTCAACCAGATCTTGCCATTGCTTATGGCTCCCACACTTGAAGACCAAGAGCGCCACTTGCTGGTCAAGGTGATTGACCGTGTGCTGTATAAGCTTGATGACCTTGTTCGTCCTTACGTACACAAGATCCTAGTGGTGATTGAGCCCCTACTGATTGATGAAGACTATTATGCTCGCGTAGAAGGCCGTGAGATCATCTCAAACCTTGCGAAGGCTGCTGGACTGGCGACTATGATCTCGACCATGCGCCCAGATATCGATATTGATGATGAATACGTTCGTAACACGACGGCACGTGCCTTTGCAGTGGTGGCATCTGCACTGGGTATTCCGGCCTTGCTGCCTTTCTTGAAGGCCGTTTGTCAGTCGCGAAAGTCATGGCAAGCTCGACACACTGGTATTAAGATCGTACAGCAGGTGGCGATTCTAATGGGTTGCGCTGTGTTGCCGCACCTCAAGCATCTCGTGGAGATTATCGAGCACGGTCTTGAAGACGACCAAAAGGTGCGCACGATCACAGCTCTGGCCCTTGCTGCTCTCGCTGAGGCAGCGCATCCGTACGGTATTGAGTCGTTTGATTCGGTGCTGCGACCGTTGTGGCGCGGAACTAGAAAGCACCACGGCAAGGGTTTGGCGGCGTTTCTGAAGGCTATTGGCTTCATTATCCCTCTCATGGACGCCCAGTATGCCAATTACTACACGGTTGAAGTGATGGAGATCTTGATTCGCGAGTTCCAGTCGCCAGATGAGGAAATGAAGAAGATTGTGCTGAAGGTGGTCAAGCAGTGTGTCTCTACTGATGGCGTAGAAGCTTCGTACGTCAAAGAAAAGATTTTGCCAGAGTTTTTCCGTCACTTCTGGGTTCGACGCATGGCGCTGGACCGACGCAACTACCGTCAGCTCGTGGAGACAACAGTGGAACTCGCAAATAATGTTGGTGCTAGCGAGATTATCTCTCGCGTGGTGGATGACCTAAAGGATGAGAGCGAGCCGTATCGTCGCATGGTGATGGAAGCGATCCAGAAGATTATCTCGAATTTGGGCGCCACAGACATTGGAACTGATCTTGAAGAGAAGCTCATTGATGGCATTCTGTATGCTTTCCAGGAACAAACGTCCGATGATACGTTCGTGATGCTCAACGGCTTTGGCATTGTGGTCAATGCTCTTGGAATCCGCGCCAAGAACTATTTGCCGCAGATTTGTGGTACTATCAAGTGGCGGCTGAATAACAAGCCAGCTAAGGTTCGCATGCAGGCAGCTGACCTGATCAACCGAATTGCTGTGGTCATGAAGACGTGTGACCAGGAACCACTGATGGGACATATGGGTGTTGTTCTGTACGAGTATCTTGGAGAAGAGTATCCTGAAGTGCTGGGTAGCATTCTGGGAGCTCTCAAAGCCATCGTGAACGTGATTGGCATGAGCAAAATGACCCCACCGATCAAAGATCTACTGCCACGACTTACTCCAATCCTGAAAAATCGCCATGAAAAAGTGCAAGAGAATTGTATCGACCTCGTTGGACGCATTGCTGACCGAGGTGCGGACATGGTATCAGCTCGAGAGTGGATGCGTATCTGTTTCGAACTGCTGGATATGCTGAAGGCGCATAAGAAGGGCATTCGTCGTGCCGCAGTCAACACATTCGGATACATTGCCAAAGCTATTGGTCCTCAGGACGTGCTGCATACATTGCTGAACAATTTGAAGGTCCAAGAACGACAGAATCGTGTGTGTACAACTGTAGCCATTGCTATTGTGGCCGAGACGTGTTCGCCGTTCACGGTGGTTCCAGCTCTTATGAACGAATACCGCGTACCCGAGTTGAATGTGCAGAACGGTGTGTTAAAGGCGTTCTCGTTCATGTTCGAGTACATTGGCGAAATGGGCAAGGACTACATCTACGCGGTGGCTCCACTGCTACAGGACGCGCTGATGGACCGCGACTTAGTGCATCGTCAAACGGCCTGCACAACAGTAAAGCATTTGGCGTTGGGTGTTGCTGGCTTGGGCTGCGAGGATGCGCTGGTGCACCTGCTCAACTTCGTGTGGCCAAACATTTTCGAAACGTCTCCGCACGTGATCAACGCCGTGTTTGAGGCCGTGGAAGGCTGTCGTGTGGCTCTGGGACCGCACGTGATCCTGCAATACGTTCTACAAGGTCTCTTCCACCCGGCCCGCCGCGTGCGCGAGGTGTACTGGAAGATCTACAACTCTCTGTACATGTATGCACAGGACGGCCTGACGCCTGCCTACCCGGTGCTGGAGGACGACGGCGTGAACTCGTACAACCGCACCTACCTGGAACTCTGCATCTAGGCTGCATTAGCCTATTCAAGTAATTTGCCAAACGAAACAAGATATCTCCGATGGCCAGCTGATCTTCTGGTGGATGGCAGTGCGATCCAAGCAGCTTTGTCATCGTGCAGTATAGGACCACCAGGATAATATATTCGCAAGCGTTTGGCTGCTGTAGTTGAGGCCTACTGTTTCATTTTTTTTTAAAACATGGCTGCAGTTTAGAATCCTGGCGTTGACGTTCTAGGTTCTTGACTACAAGTTCCGAACATCGAAGTGTTCATTAGTGCGGATGCAAAGTTAGTTGGCTTTCCGTCCGTCGTCTGATAACAGCACTGGATACCCTCGTTTTGGGCTGATCGCGCCTTCAATTTGCCTGCGAAATTAGTGTGTCATCTGATTCCATAGCCAACCATCTGCTTCTATGCAAACGCCGCCTATACAAAAGCCAACATACGGTTTTAGTCAGTGACAAACATCACCCAAGCGCACTCGGCAGAGTCAGTTGCCAATTCGTCGTCTCCGGCACACGTCTTCTCCGGCGTCTTCATCACCAGAGCCTCCCCCCTCGCCATGCTGCGCTGTCTGGTCCTAGTGCTGCTGTCGCCGCTGATTTTGGCCGTCCAGCCGCGCGATTTCCGCGTGCCACCAGTGGATTTCACGCAACTTTCAAGCGCCCCAAACAATGCGCACAATTTCGACCTGCTTGCCAAACTGCAGGAAAACGGCATCATCGCGTTGCAAAATGTACCCAATTTCGCCAGTCTGCGGCAAGAATACCTTCGCACTGCGGCAACTTGCGCCGTGCAAGCCCAGAAAAAAGGTGCCGAGTTCCTCCTGCATCGGCAACTGAGAGATGGCACCGATCGCTACACCGTGAGTCTCGAGTCTGGTCGCCAGCTGACGGAAACTTTGGACCAAAGTGCCGAACTGCTGGCAGTTTGCCCCGAGTACGTGGAAATCCACGCTGCTTTCAGCGCTGCGGTGGAATTGGCAGTTGCAAATGTGGGAACAGCTCTCGATGCAACGCAAAAGTTCCATGTTACAGCCGAGCAGGGCGCCGTGGCCATGACGGCCCGGAAACTACTAGAGGAGTCGGTGCACTTGGACCATTTCCACGCCTACGAAGCTGCTCAGGACATGCGAAGACTGGAAAAAGATTCGGAAATCAATGTTGCCGACATGTCATTGGAGTTGCATACTGACAACGGACTCATGATCGCCATGAGTTCACCTGCGTATTTCGAGGTGTCAAGCGCTGGCGAATTGCAACTCAGAAACACTCAGGGTGAAGATGCGGGTTTGTTCATCCAGACGGCAAAAGGCGCAATTGTTCGCCCCGTGTTGCAACCGGACGAACTCATTTTGATGTTGGGCTCTGGAATTGACGACTGGATTAAAACTTCTCCGCCTCTGCACTCGGTGTTGCATGGCATGCGATACCCACGAACCGTCAGTTTGGTCGATGGAGGTGGGCAAGGCAAAAAGTTGCTGCGCTCATGGTTTGGCAAAATGATTTTGCTCGAGTCGCATCAGATTATGGATAACACTGGCCTCACTTTCGGCCAGTACGCAAACCAGACTACTCGATATCTGGTACAACAAGAGGCGGAGGGCCAGACATTTGGTGCTGTTGCGTGTCCCCCGCAACGTCATTTGGCTGCGTCGGACAACAGTTGTTCACTTAAAACCTGCAAATTGAAAAGCACGGCGTCGGCGTCGGACCTGACGAAATCGTGCCAGATTACTTGCAACCACGATTCGGCCAGTGATGCGAAATTGTGTGAGCAATATTGTGACTGCGAAGACTCGACCAAAAGCGGAACTACCTGCTGGATGCTGTGTGTGGAGAATTTTTCGTCGGATGTGTGTCCCGGTGAACAGGAATGCAACAACGCCTCGACACAAGACAAATTGGCCATGACGTGTGTTGCTGGAACATCAGCTCCTTCCACGTCGGCACCTTCGACTACCGCCCCCACCAATGCAGGCACGACTGCGCCAGCTACTACATCTCCGAGCACTACGAGTCCTAGTACGACATCTCCGTCTTCTACTGGTACGTCGACTGAATCTCCAGCTACTACTGAGCCAACTACTACAGTGCCAGTCACTACACAGCCTGTGACAACCACAGCTCCGACGACGGGTTCTAACTCTGTGTCGTCTGCTGCAAATGCAGGTTCTGCTGCTGGGTCGACGAATGTTGGTGACGAAATAACGGCAGCTTCAGCTTCAAGTGGAACGTCGTCCTCACCTACTGCTTCTAGTGCTGATGGCATCTCCTCAGCTTCTACTTCGGGATCGGCGCCATCTTCGACTTCAGCTTCGTCTTCAGCTGCAAGTGTCATCCACGGTGCTATCTTCATGAACGGGGTCGCTGTGCTGGTGACCGCGTTCTTGTGCATCCAGTAAGAATGAGGAGCAAGGGCTATTTGTATTTTACATTTCCTTGGGTAGTCACTCACTTATCGAATGCATTGCCTTGTTCGTTTGAATTTGTCTCGCTTGACAAATTTCATTGCAAAAATTACGCAGATTGAAGCGAACACGAAGACAAACGTAGAAGTTGTGATGTCTGGAACATCGGGAGCGGTAGGGCAACTTGACAGCGTGCACGTGAGCCTTTCGGGTGGTTAACTTAATATCTACGCAAGGTAGGTATGTTAACACGCATTGCTAGTAACAGCCTGCACGGGCTTTCCGAAAGCCCTGTCAAGGGGAGGTTAGTAAGATCTTCTGCAATAAAAGTTGGCACACAAGTCACATATGCTGAGTCAGTATTACTGACAGTATACTGTTGTCAAATGATTAGCCCAACAACAGTTGGACAACGTCGATTCGATACAACCTGACATGTGAGTAGAACTTGTTCCCCCAAAAGCCTCTAAGTTGGCCAGAGTGGACATTTCAGTGAGCGACTGTGGCAAACTATCAATACGAAGTCGAATACACAACCGTTCAATTAACGCTGGTGTTAAGCTTTCGAAACATGTATAATAATCTTTGAATAATATTCAAAGTCTTTTTATTATATAAAGACTGGAATATGTTGTCTTTGGGCTTGCCTTTCAAACTAGCCAAAAAGTGCTGGCTGTCACAGGCAGTGCGTGTTAATATCAGACCGGTGTTCGCTATACGTCATATTGCATTGAATGCGTTGGTATTTTTTTTTACCCAGTTCGCACCTGCGAGGAGATGAATTACTTTGAGGAACAGGCATCCAGTCGTTTAGCAGATCAGTAAGCATCTCGATCGAGTCGCAACAGCTGTAGCAGTGGTCCACCGGGAATATACGAACACAAGCTCCCTCAGCTATAGTGGAGTGGGAGACTTGGAGAAGCTTTGGGTTTTTGGAAAGCTTTGCATAAGCAGCTTAATCGGCCAATTAATTCAACTCCCACTCGAAAACGTTTTTATCGACAACTCATGCTTGCCAGCAAATTGCATTGCAATAGCTTGGAGCATGGAAACTGCAGAATGAAGTCGCAGTGGATTACGAATGAAAACGTATACCGTAATACGACTTACTCACAGCAACTTTATTGATGAACTGTACGTTGTATTACTGTTAAACGCATAGTTAATAAGCATACCGTAATTCCACAAATCCTTAAGCTGCTAACTATCGCGTACAACTATACACAAATATGTAGAAATGCAGCTCCCAGCATAAGTAAAACTCTTCGTAAATTGTGCAGGAGCCAGTGGCTACTAAGGCAGCGAGGTGTCTCGAGCTCATTCCACAATCGTCTCTTACACGCACTTGCGACAACATCTAGCCATGCGCGTAATTTACTTTATGCTGCTGGCACTTGCTAGCTACAGCACAATTGCAGTAGCGGAGGCTTCTGGTGAGAATAAAAGCCTATCGATGGGCCCTTATCCCGTCAATGAAGACCACCGCTTCCTCAAAGGATCCAACAAGCTACGTGGGACAGATGAAGAGAGGGCTATCACGGTTCCCCGGTTTGACAAGTTGGCGTCATTGCTAAAGTTCGCAAGCTCCCCTCTGACGAAGCTGCTCAGCAAAAGACGACACGCCTTTGGGCTGGACGCTGCAGAGCTCTATACGGCGCTTGTCAAATTGCGCTATAAAAATACTCGAGCGTCGTGATCTAAAAAGCGGTATGTGTGGATTTGGATCGAGAGCGAAACAAAAGTCGTCGATTACTTCTGCTAATATGTTTTACCAGCTTTAGTTTTAATATCCACTTCAGGTGCATTGGTAACACTTGAAAATAAAAAAAAAACTTGACAGCTGAAACGGGAAATTTTCGTTTGTAGTTTTTGTTGCCGCTGAGTGTCAGTTTTAATCTCCGGTTGGTTGCTCCTCTGATTCCAAATACACGACAACGCAGGAATATTTACTGAATGTTTCGTAGAATCGCACTATTCGATTGCATGGAGGACAGGAATCGGAATAGGCAACCGGTATGTGGCGACAGACTAGTTGACGGAAGGAATCCAACTTCACCACTGTTTAAGGCACTTCGATGGGGATTGGATTTTGTACAGGCAGACGCTGGTTCGGACGCAGGGTCATATACAACTTGTAGATTGCGCTTGTCGTGTGATCCTTTACAGCTGCGCAGAGAATATTGCTTGACGTCTGGGGATCGTAGCCCATTTCAAGTTTGGCTGTGATATTTCTATCCCTCGCTTTTCTAAGCAGGCATTCTTTGCGGATATTGGCGTTTTCTATTAAACGTTTGACGCTAGTTGACATGATCTCCTACTCCCATGAAATGCGATTTTCCTAGAACTGGGAACCACGGTAGTTCTCTTCCCTTCGCGCTGCATTCACGCTTACCATTGGCTAATACTATACTTAGCTGACGCATGAAATTTATAAGATTACCAGGGTTTCGTTTTTTTTTTTAATACTATCTATTGTTGTATCGCTAGAAGATTCTATTAACCTTTTGTTTTGATCACTAATAGACCAAATAAATTGCCAGTTTTAATTCATGGAAAATCATACCACCTGTCACAGATACTTCCTGCAAAATAAATTGCAGAGAATTTGTAGTTACCCATCCCTGGAGATGCCCGGGAGATCCTCTGCTGTAAAATCCTTCACCACCTACCTGAATAATGGATGTTACGTGTAGTCAGAAGTGAATTCATATATTGCTCTTGCATTTAAAGTAAAACCTTTTATCTTATACCTGAAAGAACCCGAGGACAACTACTCTATCATTTATAGCAATACATAATATTACTCGAAGTAAGTAGCTGTCAGCAGGGGCGTAGCCAGACCCGAAATCTAAGAGGGGCACAATCAAAATTAGGGAATTTCTTGGGGCACTGAAATTAGACATTATAGGATTATTTTTCCTTTAAATTATTTGAGACAAAACTTTGCCCCCCCCACCTCCACCAAATCGGGTCTAGCTCCGCGACTGGCATCCCTTAAGGTTTCCAACAATTCTTCTGCGGATCAGATGCAGGATGTGTGAATACTTATGTCATTTTCATCTGCTGCTACTATAATATAGTATTATCAAGTACATGGGCAGGAGATGCGTTGACAAAAGACGTTGGTTTAACTCTTGAATAGAGGGTTCACTTTACTATATTACGAAGCTTATTTATAGGATGAGTTTATGCTACTTCTCAACGGCATGCGGTCGGCGAGTACGGCATTTAGCAAATTCAGACTCAAACTACCGTACTTCCCAGGACGAGAAATTCGAAACTTTCGGTCATTTTACAATCGATTCAAATGAAGCATATCTGCTTCGTTTTGGTGATCAACAACAGAACTAATAGCTACTATAGCCTTCTAAAGGCCGGCTTACGGCTACAAGTCGGTCCGCTAAAAGGGACTGCCCGATTGTATTACTATAGTACATCGGAGAAACTGTACGACCGTGGTCTTTCGAAGTGTCGAGCGTATAGTCGCACTTGAAGCATTCCCGCTTACATGAATTCTATCTTCTTTAAAATATCATTGCTATTCAATTTCAGAGCTTCTTCGTGCAAGGCATGGCTTTGTTTCACCCTTAAGCAACTTAGTAACTGGGTTTAATGAAAATCGAAACAAATGCGATTTCAAGTAGATTCATTTTTTTTTATAGAAATTTCAAAATATCGGCTCCATTACAGCCCGACAGCCTACTAGTCGAACTCACCTATTAAAATAGGTGAGTTCGACAAATTAGAATAGGTCTTCCAACTAAAAAAAGATATTATCTTTTTTTTAGTTGGAAGACCTATTCTAATTTCGGTACATAATATTATTATGTACCGACCAGATCTGAAAACCGTGCATGGTACAGAATATGATTTTCTGGATGTCCGCTAAGTTAGCGTTAGCGGCGCTAACATGAAAAAGGTATATTTGCGACTTTGGAGCTTTTTTTCACGGTAACTGGTACAATGGTAACTGAAAATAATTTCAGTAACGATTGTGTGGCGGCCAGCGATGATGGTGGATCAACGAACATTTCCTAAGAGATTACTTATTCAATTAACATAGCAGAAGCGCACAGGTTATCGTTCCATTCAACTCTCAGTAATGGTTGAAGTAGATCGTCCAGGCATCCAGGTTGTCGCATCCTCATGATTACGGTAAATACGAATCAACAGTCTAACGTAATGGCCCGTTGTATTAGTACGGCATATTACGGTGGAACTTGTAAACTTGAAGGCCAATTACACCTTTTTTAGGCCAAAATGAGAAATTCTCAGATCAAAACAAGAAATGCTCAGATCAAAACAAGAACCCTCGTCAAATACGATTTACAAATCCGTATCTGATATCATGGGGTTCCAGAATTCGAGAAGTCTAGAGGGCTCATGGGCACTTCAGTGGCAGAAACGCAGAAGCACCTCTCATTT